AGTACTCCAGAGTGTTGTTCAGCATGGGGGTGAGTAGAAAATGAAGGCTAATCATGTTTTGGGTGTACTATTCCTTTAAACAGGCTTTCCAGAAGTTGCTAGAACTCGTGTTTCAGCAACTTCTAATGTGCGATGGGACGATAAAGGAGAACGATACAGGAGTTAGTCCTTTGATGAAGAGACCCCATTCTTACTGCCTACTGATGGAGGTTAGAGGGACCTGTGGCATCTGTGTACAGCAGCCTGGATTTGGTCACTGAGAATGTTCTGTGGTGCACTTCAGAGTATCGTGGTTGGAAAAGGTGTTATATAGGTTGAGACCTTTTAGCCTTGATAACAAATGAACTTGTTTGTTTTCCAGTGAAGGTCCATAAATCAGACCACCCCCACTCCTGGGACCCCTGTATGAATTACTGCCACCCTTCAAACTCAACCCTTTGCAACACCAGTTCCACCCTAAACAAGTCATGGACTGCCTCCAACAACAACACCATCAACAGCCTGGACTACTGCAAGTGTAAGAACTGAGTCCTCTAAAGCCGGGCATACACTGCACGATGTTTAGCCCTTTTCCTGCCGATCCTCCAGTTGCATGAGAATTTGTCACTCAGGCCGTCTTTCAGCCTGATCATGCTTTGTGCGTCATGTAGTGTATGGGGGTAACAAGGGGCAATCAGCCTCTCATGACCATCTCCCGTTCAGGAATCGTGAGGTCGGGAGAAAATCAAACATGTTTGAAATTCAGTTGGCCGTTGTAAGGTCCCATCAAGTGTTGGGCCGCACAGTGTGAGAACATGCATCGTGATCTGGGAACTTTTAAACCCTGCGGTTTCATCGTACAGTTTGATATGTAGCTGCGTGCAATGATTGAAAATATCGCACAGTGTACGCCCGGTTTAAGGTTGTAAACTGGTTAAAATCCTTCAAAGTAAGGCTGCCACATGGTTGGGGATACTTAACTTAGCAGTCATCAGCACTTACACAAAGCAATTGCTAAGTATTAGGAGTTGCTTGCCCTTGACCTCCTATATCTGGGATATTCTTCTAGTTGTTCCAAAGCAAGAGGAAATTTAGCTCTTCCTCCTGCTCTGGTGCAACAGAAGTGAAGTGTGGGAATTTGTTGTGTAAAAAGTGATATGCTCGACCAAGAAATCTCCAACATCCATGTGTGAGTCTGTGTGGCTCACCGTATCCCCAACTCTGTGCAACCCTCAACACCCTAACAGACATTTCTCTACCTTTTCCTGTTTAACCTGCATTCATCTGATTCATTATTAGTACACAATAACAAACAGATATTCTCTCTGTCCCTTGCAGCTCTTGTTTGTGCCAGTTTCTCTACCAGCTCTACAACCACGTCAGGCCCCAGCAGCCTGAGCTCCAACACATTGCCGCGGCCAGCAGCTCCCATGAGTCCTCGCAACTCACTGCTCAAACGAAGGCAGAGGAAGAAAGAGCACAAGAGTTCTTGTGGGTTCAGTCTGTGAGTTAAATAAGGAAGGTTTAACAGACAGTCTATCTAATATGTATCAATGTGTGTGCTTAGTGTCCCTGGCATCCAGTTCGGTAGGTCCTGGTGGTCAGGTGGTCCACGTAGAGACGAGTGAGGTCGTCTTGACCGGTGATCCACTCAACGGCTTTGGAGTACAGCTGCAGGGAGGAATCTTTGCTACTGAAACACTCTCTGCTCCACCACTCATCCGGTTCATAGAGCCTGACAGTTCAGCTGAGAGGTGAGGACCCTAGCCTAGTGACACACTTGGGCTCCAGTTCCTATGAGGGGTGTGTCTAACTATACTGTAATACTTCCTTAAAACTATACCCAAAAACAGTACCTTTACTCGTTAAGTTGGTCGGTTTGCGTGATGACATGTTTCTATAGCTGCTTAATCCTTCCAGAGGCTGCTGGGTGGGGAAGGCCTTTCTCCAGTGGTCGGTCACTTCTCCGTATTGGTCAGTGCTTATAGAGAATTCAAAATGAATGACATGAACCTCAGAGCCTTTTTTATAAGTTTCAGCTGAATCGGATTTAAATGTTATTAAAAAAAACAAGACGTGGAAAAAAACAAACAGATATGAGGCTTAAAAGGACATAAAATACCATAATTGACAGGTGAAGAAAGAGGGAGATATTATACAGTTTTTAAAAAAAATGCAAACAAACTTAAAGTGGTTTCAATCAAAAACTGCATCGTAAAATGTTTAAAATACAGAAAGAAAATAACTACAGAAAACAATGGATAAAAATACATGATTGATTTTTAAAAACCCTACTTTGTAAAATTCAATCCAGTCAGTTGGATTGTTCTATTTTGAAAATTGCATGGAACCAAAGAGAACAAACAGACATATTTTTCACACAGAAATGGAGGCTTTTTGAAAAGAATTGTCATTTCCTGCTGAAATGTTGTTTCCTAAAGGTTGGTGAAGACTCTCAGTCATCCAGCTCATAGCCATTCCAAAAAAGTTAAAAACAATCCACTGGACTTTGTTTACAAGTCTGAAGACGTTTCGCTTCCCATCCAGGAAGCTTTTTTCAATTCAAAATGTCAGAAATAGCGTTTTCAGGGTTTTATACACTAGCCCAACAAAGCCTTGTTTTTGTTTAGAAAACATGCAAATTGAACCGGACGAACGGGTCCACCCCTTTGGAATGGGGGTCGTTTGGCTTCTTTTGTTAGCCTGCAATACCCCATACCTGTCTATGTCTCTGTAAGGGGGGTTGTTAAAGGGAATTGTTGGTCTGGCTAAATAGGCAAGGTGTTCTGTTCCCTTGTATGGGGGTTGGGGTTGCAATGATAGCAGGAAGGAATCAACTCAATTGCTTCATTGTAGGTTTTTGAAAGTGGAAATCCACTGCATCTGTTTAAGGTTGTTTTTTCTTTCGTAACTTCATGCCTCGCTCAAACCACCTATTTTCTTTGTCCAAAATAAAAAAGAAAACAAGAACGTACAATGCAGCAATTGAGTTGATCCCTTCCCGCTATCATTGCAACCCCCACCCCTTTACAAGGGAACAGAAGACCTCACCCATTCAGCCAGGTTAGAAGATTGGTTCCTTTAACCACAATAAAGATTTAAAGGAATAGTACACCCAAAACATGATTAGCCTTCATTTTCTACTCACCCCATGCTGAACAACACTCTGGAGTACTTTTTTGATATCTCAAATGCATCTGGAGATCTGGGAGGCTTCTTGCTGTCTGCTGACATTCAAATAATGGAGGTCTATGGCGCCCGAGACAGAAAGGTCCATAAAAGTCCACAAAAAACATGTCAATATTCCTCCATACTGCTCGTCCAATGTATTCCAAGTGTCCTGAGTGGGTAGCGTCCAGAATTTACTTGAAACGAAGTCATTTAGAATGTTTTTAGAGCATAAACAGTAGTGTATAGGATTTCCTAAAAGCGCGTTCACGAGTCTACGGAAACCGCGGCAGACCAAACCAGATGAAAGTGCGCATTCAGCTCGGCAAAGAACTCATGCTCTTCCTCAACACTGAAGTCCTCAGACATTTTTCTTTCGTTGTTTCTTTCTTTGCACAGGTAAACAGCACATTTCTTCTTCTACGCTTGTATTTTCGGCAGAGCAGACGCTGAATGCGCACTTTCATCTGGTTTGGTCTGCCGGCTTCCGTAGCGTCGTGAACGTGCAGGCGCGCGCTTTCAGGAAATCCTATACACTACTGTTTATGCTCTAAAAACATCCTAAATGACTTCGTTTCGAGTAAATTCTGGACGCTACCCACTCAGGACACTTGGAATACATTGGACGAGCAGTATGGAGGAATATTGACACGTTTTTTGTGGACTTTTATCGACCTTTCTGTCTCGGGCGCCATAGACCTCCATTATTTGAATGTCAGCAGACAGCAAGAAGCCTCCCAGATCTCCAGATGCATTTGAGATATCAAAAAAGTACTCCAGAGTGTTGTTCAGCATGGGGGTGAGTAGAAAATGAAGGCTAATCATGTTTTGGGTGTACTATTCCTTTAAAGTATGCAGCTGCCTATTTGAACTCCAAAGACAGATTCCTGTTGTTGCTCTGATGTATTTCACTGCTGTTCTGCTGCTGTGTTAATGCCTCTGTGTGCAGATGTATTGATTTAATGCTGCATTAGTGGAGTTATTCAGTGTGGCTCTAATGTGTGCTGAGATGTTGGTGTTTGAGTGGGAGGATGTGTGAGAATGATGTGTGGTGTTGGAGCAACTGGGATTGACTACGTAGGTGTGCAAGCATGTGCTTTCAGTTTAAAGGGGTGTTCCAAATATCGATGCGAGTGTGAAACGCGTGCACGTTGGTTGGTGCTTCCTGTCGCTGGCTTCCACACAACTTTGTTTGCATAAGGTGGTTAAAAACTATTATCCATTGTGTTTCTTTACTGGCTGATGTTTTCATCCTATGAATTGTTTCTTTGAGTGCTGGGTGTGTTTCTACACCCCGAGGCCACACTCCCCTACTCCATTAGTGCCCACGCTAAAAACACTAATTAGTTTGCTTCCTCCTGCTCATGCCGGAGGAATCGATAAGTATACGTCTTTCAATTCGAAATCACAGCTGCCTGCCTCGAAGGACTCTTAAGCTGGAGAGAAACTCTGTTTTTTAGGCTTCAAAGATTCTGTAAAGACCTGGAGTTCAAATGAGCAGAGCCGTTCCAGAAGATTCAGAAGAAAAATTATGCCACAATAACTGAGCAGAAAATTTAGCTTGTTGTTTGTTTCTGTTTTGTTTTTTTGGCTTCTTGTTTGAACTAGAAAACCCGACAGGAGTGCGCTCTCCACAGAGCCACCTTTGACACACACACACAGAGCCAACAATTAAAAGTCTGAGCTGCTTTCAAATCCAGGGGGGGTTTATCATTACGCAATACAAGGCAGGCCTAGGGCCCAAAGTATGGTTAATAAAACTATTCCCTCATCTGTGCACATTGATTATGTTTTTGATAATAATCCTATCGCTAAAATACCATCAGAACGCTTATAATATTAAGTGTGTCTCAACCCTGCCAGTCCATTTGCTACACATGTTCAGAAAGGTCCAAACAGAGAGCAGCAAACCATTTAAAAACAAACTATGTGAAGAGCTGTGTTGCCAACTTAGTGCTTTTATCGCTATATTTTGCAACTTTTCAGACCCCTCTAGCACATTTATTTCAAAAAAGCATCTAGCGCCAAATGTAGCGCCTTTTTTCTGCTACTGGAGACTTTGGAGACAACATCTAAAAGCAGCGAACTCTGCTCTCCAGAGCAAGTAGATTGGTAACCCCGCCTCCTGCTCTAATGTATCTTGTCTGCTGTCATGATTCATGCAGCTATTATTTCATCCAAATGAAAAATGGAGAACAGATAAGCAGATTATGGCTTGTCTACAGTGAAAAGAAGGACTGGGTTATTTACTTTGGCCTTTTTGGAAACACAGGAAGGAGCAATCAGCTAAGTGAGCTTAGTGCTTGGAAAAAATCTTTCATTCCTTTAGAGACAGCATGAAAAGTCAGCTGAGTACAAAACGTAGAACAGATAATGGATGTCTATTCTAGTAAAATGTCTGTATCTGCATGATGGGCGTATTTTATGTGTTGTCTTCTCAGTTCAGAGGATCCCCTGCCTGTCTTTGCCTAGGGCCCCAAATGTCCTAAATCCGCCCCTGTCCAAATCGCCACAACCTCAGAAACTGATGGGCACCAAAAAAACTTCTGATGATCAACCTATACTGATCAAAATAAACCAGCTGGAAAATAAACGAGCACAACATCTATATTTTCCCAAGAAATGACTGAACACAGACCAGATCTTCATCAGCCTTCCAGCTGATAAAGCTGTGCACCTACTTATGCGTTTAGTATGGTTTAAATTAATGTAGGATTCTGTTTTATGTATACATGAAATGGGCTGAGCAATGTTCTTTTATCTTTAGAAAAAACTCCTAGATGACTGCAGAGACAAATTCTCCTGTGAAAAACCTAAAAAATAATTCATAACAGAGCAAAGATTGATTTGAGATGAGGTGTTGTGAATTGGTGCTATATTAATAAACTGAATTGTAAATTGAACATTCTGTATCAGTCCTCTCTATGTTTATATTGTTGATACTGACTTGATGCGTCTGTGTCCGGTCTTCCTGACATGACCTTGATAACTGTTGTAGGTGTGGCCTGCTGCAGGTTGGAGATCGTCTTTTATCGATCAACGGAATCCCCACAGAAGATGGAACCCTGGAGGAAGCCAATCAACTCCTCCGTGACGCTGCATTGACCAATAAGGTCACGTTGGAGGTCGAGTTTGATGTAGCAGGTTTGTGAGGTGGCAAAATTTCTCCAACATGTTTCCTCTTCCAACGCACCAGGAACTTCATTTCCTTTCATTTGTTTTCTTTGACTCTTTTCACTACCAGTGTGAAAAATGTTTGCACCGTCCAGCAGAGATAACTAAAATAATGGCAGCTTGTTATTGCAGGACATGGTCCCATTAAGAGGCTTTAAACTCCACTAGAACAGTTTGGGTTCAGTTAGGGAACTTTCTCAGCACTTGTCGTGTCACATCAGACTGCTGCATTTAATAAATAAATAAACCAACAAACTGGTTAGATTTTAATCACTTTGTTTGAAAATTTATACATTTTTAATTCTCATTTATATACAGAAAGGCAGTCATTTAAAAAAGCAGCTGAGTGTGAAACAATCTCATGTACGTTTTTTTAAAAATAAGTTGCTGAAAATACTCAACGGCCTATTAATAAGAATCTCAATCTAAGGTTCAAATAAAATGAACAAAACTATCAGTTGACAATCTAAAAAAAAAAATATATATATATATAATGCAGTATGTATTTCAAAGATTTTAAAATCATTAAAAATAACTTATTAATAGGAAACAAAGACAAGAAGACATAAAAAAAACTCTTTTGTTTATTGACAAAATTTCTAGTTTGAACTTGCTACTGAAAAGTATAATCCTTATATTTTTTCTAAAGTATTTCCTAAGACATGTTTTTTTTTTTTATCATTTTGTTCTTTGAGACAAAGTTAAAAGCAAACTGCCCTAAGTTGTAAAATCAACAGGCGTTTTATGTGCTTCTATCATGTGGAAAGGAAAAACAATCAGTGGAGGATTTTCTGATACGTTTTCAATCGTATTTAACGCCTTATGCTCATACTTGGTCAAAGTGCAAATAAGGACTTTGCTGCAAAGTTTCCACACACACTGACATTATTATGGGTTTCCATGCCCCTCCGTGTGGACTAGGATCAGAATGCTGCTGCCTGCGTCCTCACTAGAACTGAGAAGTTAGAACACATCAGCCCAGTTCTAAGTCCTCCCACTGGCTCCACGTACCACAGAGAATAGACTTTAAAATCGTTCTGTTTGTCAGAAATCACTGAATTTTGTAAAGGAATACCCAAAACCTGACATACAGTAATGAATTGTAATGGTAAAACACTTTACCAAAAAGTCTGCTTAGCTTAGCCCAGTGCAGATCGAGGTTGCACAGGGGGCGGAGCTGAAGACCGCTCTGGGGAATTTGGACGCACTACATCGGAGGTCAGGGATTAGCGGACCAGGGTCCGGACCTACCTGCTGGCTAATCAAGACCTAACCAGATTTAAAACATTTATAAATTACAGTGCGTTATCTAATTTCACTTGCGCCGCTTCTCCTGTTAATACGGTAAAGCCCTCTGGATCGTCTGGCACTAGGCTACATGTGATGCCAATTAGCCAATGAGCTGCTGTCAGTCTGGGTTGCTGCTGCTGCTTCTTTTAGACACAGCAGGCAAACCTGTGGCAAGCCGGGCGATGAGAAAGAAGGTTTAGTAGTTTTTTGTGTGTGTGCGTAAGACTGCATAAAAAGAATAAAACAATAAGGAAATCTGAAGGAGGGTCAGAAATTGCTTTCTGACCCACTGATGACCCAAAGGTCAAGAAAGACCTGAGAGTAAATCCAGACTGATGCATTAATAAAAGGATAGATATATTTAGAACATGTTGTTGAATGGCTCAGGTTTTTGTTGCCCTGAAGCACTGAAACGTCTCCAGGGTCGTAAAACAGTGACTGACAGATAAAACACAAGCAAAAGTCTGGAAGCTGCTTGAACTGTTTTAGATCATTTGTTTCCATATTTACTGACAGGAAAAAATACATGTATGTTTACAAATTCCCAGCAAACTTTGATAGTTTAATTTGAAAGATCTTTAAAAAGTTTGCTTTTAGGAATATAAACACTGTGATGCTGTATATATATGCATCCTGTCGCTCTTTGGTCTTTCTTATTTATAATAAAAATTTTATTTAAATATGGTATTAAAAAATAATGGTTCATGTTGTATCTTTCATGGAATAATTTACTCATTCCTGGAAAGATGTTTTTTTTAATAAGTACTTGTAAATTATTATTTTTTCTTTACATTAAGTCAAAAAATAACTTATCGGAACATATGAAACCATCCTCTTTTTATGAAAAAGTGTATATTT